GTGCAGGTAGGAGGCGGGGCAGGGGGGGAGGGGTGTTGTAATGAAAGAAGTCCCAGTGCGCATGGGGATAGATAAATTCATCTTCTTAGTTGATCTTAATATTTTATATATGGAGAAAGTTATAGAGATAACAATTATTTTTGGAGGATCATTTATTGCAACTGACAAGGTGAATATTGACTTACAAAGAGAAGAATTGACTATTAGAACATAATATCAATAATTGAATTTTTAAATCTATAATTATATTCCCATCCATATTTATCACCATGAAAAGTGTTGTAAATTGAACATAGAATAGTTACAGGAAAGATTAAATAATTAGAAAGAGAGTGAGAAATTAAATATATTAAAAAGAGAAAATAAATAGGGATCGCCAATGGATAACATAGGAAAGTCTCTAGGGAATCAAGAATATTGGAAAATTGGTATTAGAAATTAGAAAGATAATTTGATCATGGAGAAACACTTAGGCATAATTTGACATTGTTAAATTGATGACATAAAACTAAATGCTAATTATGTGGTAACCCAAGTGTTATTTTTTGGTTTGATTGTATGTTTACTTTGTTGTACGATATATGTGTGTGTTTTTGTTAGGCTAAGATTTTAAACTAAGCATATTTTCTTGGAGACAACCCACACTTAACTTGTGTTGGCTTAATTTGATTGATTACTGATGTGATTGACCGTATGTTGTGTGCAACATGACACTCTATGAGAAATTAGACTAATTGCAGAATTTAGCTGTAGTAGACACTGAGCTTTATTCTAAATGATACAGTGTATTTTTTTATTTATAAAAATTTATTGTTGAAGATGGAGAATCTTGATTTTATGTTTCTTATGCTTTTATTTTCCTGATGCTATTTATTGATGTTTTGTGGATGTTTATGTTTATGTTCACGTGATATATGTGATTGTTATGTGAATAACATGCTATGTAGCTATGGTGTTTACTTGAATTCTTATTATGTCTATTTCATACTATTAATTCTTCATTGTTATACCTTTACATTTATGTTCTACCCTATATTTTTTCTTTCCCAATTTTGTTTTATTTTCTTGTGATCAATGTAAAATGAGTCTGGGAGAGTATAAAAATTTATGCCATAAGCTAAGAGTAAAAATTTAAAATTTAGAATTTTGTATACATGATATGTAAAATTAGAATTCAATGTGATTTAACAATAAATAAATAAAATAAGTAAAAATGGCATGAACCTTCAGCAAGTATTAAAAAGTATCGTTAACTCGCTAATAACTGTCTTCTAACTATAGTTAGTCACTCACTTATATAATGATTCTTAAATACTTAGACTATAGTTCACTATATATAAACTTGATGCATCAAATATATAAAATTCAATAGCTAATCAATCTAAGTAATTTAATACTAGTTAAATATCTTGAATTATAGACTTTTGATTTAAGTTATGAAGCAATTGGGAATTTGATTTAAAAAAGAAATGGTATTCAAATTCATAAAGGAAAAGCTTAACCATATATATTAATCATTTGTAAAAGAAAAGAAAAAGAAAAATAAAAAAAAAAGAAAAGGTTTAAGTTTACAAAATAAAAATTCATGAGCCTTAGAGGAGAAGCTTAAGGTTAAGCTTTAGTTTAAAAATTAATACCAATCACTCTTTCTAAATGTGAAAGAAAACACATGCCTCCTTAATAATAAAATTTGATTGATAAGCCTGATTGAATTATATATATATAATTTTTATACTTTTTCGGGGTATATGTGTTCCTATATGCAATACACATGTTAGTCAGTAAGGGGAGCATATGGAGCCAAAATTCATGTAAATCACTACTCGGCACCTCGATGCCCGTGTATGGCGCTTAAGCCAACTCAAATTGTTGCCAACATATCGAAAGGAAGGAAAGTTGACATATCAATAGAGATTATCTAATATGTTAATTAAATTTCTTAGCGCATTAATAATAATACGATCCATGTTAAGAAAGTTCTCTTTATGTCAAATGGTATTGTCATATGAGTTGTCCACAAATAAAATATTTTTCTTAACCATAACGAGCGACATATATATTTTCAAGAGGCATGGTAGTGGTTTGTGTGTGTGTGTGTGTATTTGTGTGTGTATATATGTGTGTGTGAGTGTGTGTGAGTGTGTGTGTAACCTCAAAGAACCTGATATGTTGGTCCAGTTGGATCCGCCAACCTATAAAAATAATTTACAAGGCTGGCTGTGATAGGTCTACCTAAACCCACTAATCTGTTGGGCGAGAATGCGTCTTAATTCAGATCATACCCACTCAAAAGCCTAATTGCTACCATCTCATCGTCAATTTAACATAGACGTAGAAGTTGGCTTCGATAGTTCATTAAATTACCTCAGGTCAACGAGTACTCGTAGTGGCTAAGGAATTAGCTGATTAAAAAACAAAAACTCAATAAATTACCCTAATCTTATTTATGACCCTTCGACATGGGCCAATTCTAACTTCAAACATCTGAGAGATTATTGCGTGCGGACACCGCATGCATCTCTGCATGCGGTGTCCGATCCTGATCGTAGATCACGGTTATCTACGGCCATGATTATTTCTGTTTTTTTATATAAAAAAAAAAATTTCGGTGGGGCCCACCGAAATACATTGCGACCGTAGATCAGGTGATCTACGGTCCGGATCGGGCACCGCACGCAAGCTGCGTGCGGTGCTTGATCTGTATGGAATAATTTTTCCAAACATCTTGCGGACTCTCCGACTTATGTTATTGATCAGATATCAAGAGTGTTACATAATAACTTAATTATTTGAGGTATTGTGGCTCTGCATGTGTCATAATATACATTTTGGTATTGAGCATCATAACTTAAATTTAATCATCCAAATTTTTTATAACATATATTAAAATATTACCATTTAAATCTTTAAAAAATAAAATATATCTTTTTCATGGGTAAAATGATATGCAGGTAAAAATTGAAATTTAGATTTTAAATTTGTAAATACTTGGAACTAAGTGCTATTTATTAAAGTTTTTTTTTAGCTTCTTTTGTTATAGATATTGGTACTGCAGCTTCCTCCCTCTCAAAATTTCCACTCCTTCCACCAACCCCCACCTTCCCCATCCCGACCGGACCTCCCAGCAAATGGCCTCGCCGCTCAAATGCTCCACCGTACTTACTTGCAAAGGTGCTTGCTCCTCAACTGCCATTTTTATAGCTTTCCCGTTTTGATTTTCGAAATCCCTTGTCATTCTAACACCTTCTTCGTGTTCTTTCGAAGCCGCGGTGGCATGGGGGCCAGGCGAGCCCCTTACGTTGGAAGAGGTGGAGGTCGATCCTCCCCGGGCGATGGAGTTACGGATCAAGGTCGTATGCTCCTCTCTTTGCCGCAGCGATGTCACCCAGTGGGAATCGAAGGTTTGTCGGATCGCCCTGTTAAACTTACACTCTCTTGGAATTGAGAACTTTTTAGGATTTGATAAAAGTTAGAAATTTATGAATGAAGCCGCACTTCTATTTATCATTTTTTCTTAGCTTAATATAAATTCAAAATACTTCACCCCTATTTATACTGGTAACACCTCCTAAATTAATGACTAGTATTGTGTCACTACAATTCTAATCTAATGGTTACAAATGACTTCTTATAATTCTATTTATAATTCCATATCTACCACACATTCTAGACAACTCTATGAATTACTCTAGAATAAGCTTCTAGATGAGACTTTTCTAGAACATGCTTATAGAAATTAGACTCTTATTGGGCTTTATTTAAACAACTAAGACCCGAAAATTAAAAATCAAGTTTTTATTTCAACACTCCATCTTAAACTTGATTTTGTAACTCTAAGTAAACTTCTCATTTTAATAAAGTCTTCACTCTTAAGTGACTCGGTAAAAATATCTACAACTTGATCTTAAGATTTCACGTACTGCACTCGTATCTCTTTTGTTTTATGCATTCTCTGATTTAGTGATGATGCATATCAATGTGTTTGCTTCTATCGTGGAAAACTGAATTCTTTACTAGTGCTATTGCAGACTTGTTATCGATATAAATCTTAATCGCCTCTTCTTGTGGTAAACTTAATTCCTTTAATAAGTTTCGAAGCCAAATTGCATAATAAACATATGAGGTTGCAGTTACGTACTCTGCTTCGTTAGTAAAAAGAGTGACAATTGGTTGTTTCTTTGACATCCAAGTGAAAGCAGCGTCTCCTATGAAGAACACGAACCCTATAGTGCTCTTTCGATCATCCATGTCTTAAGCCCAATCGCTATCGTTATATCCTACAAGCTTGAAATTGTTAGATGATGAGTAAAGTAAACCAAAACGAATTGTGTCTTTGATATAACGCATGATTAGCGGTCTTCAGGTGGGAGCAGTCGGAGTCTCCATGTAGTGACTGACAAATCCAACAACATAAAAAATATCAGGCCTTATGCATGTTAAGTAGCACAAACTTCCAACCAACTCTTAAAAACCGTTGGATCAATTCTTTTTCTTTCATCATACTTTGATAGCTTGACTCCACATTCTACAGGGGTATTCATAAGCCGACTATTATCCATCTTGAACTTCTTTAATATCTTCATTGCATAACTTTCTTTAGAGATGAAAATCTCATCTTCCGTTTGCTTGACTTCAATGCTTTGATTTTTTTCATCAATTGCATATTTCTACTTCTTGTTTTGTATGATTTCTTGGAAATTCATGGGCTCACAGTCGGCAAAGAGACAAAAGAGAGTAAGATTATATTGATTCTTAGTTACCTCATAAAGATCTTGTAATCTTCTAAAGCGTGGTACTCTTTCACTTAAATTTGTTCTTGAAGTTGATGACGATGAGTCACTTTGATTACTTGTAGTCAATGTTTTTTGTGGAGTAGTAGACTCGTCTCTTGCTTGCTCGATCCTTGGCTGCTCTGTGCCTTCTTCTTGAAAGTATGAGAAAAAGTTGTAGTTCTCATCATGTTGTCCTCAGTCTCATTCTTCTCCTTCATCGAATATGACATCTCTGCTGATGATTGTCTTCCCTATATTTGGATTGTATAGCTTGTAGTCTTTCGAGTTGATGTAGTTGTTGTCGTAACCATTGAAAATGAACTTCTCGCTCTTGTCATCTAGCTTACTTTTTTTCTCATCGGGTATGTGTACATGAGTTATGCATAAAAAAACTAATAGATGAGAGATGTCGGGCTTCTTTCCACTCCATGATTCTTGTGGTGTCTTTCCGAACACACTTTTTGTTGGTGATTAGCCAAATAAACAACGCATGCAACCGCTTCTACTCAAAACTCTTTCGACAATCTCTTTTTGTTGGTGATCAGTTAGTAAAATAAACAGCACATGCAACCACATACTCAAAACTCCTTCGACAATCTCTTGTTTTTTAACATGCTCTTTGTCATGTCAATGATGATTTTATTCTTCCTTTTCGCTACTTCATTTTGTTGGGGGAATCTTGGAACAGTTAGAAGTCGACTTATTTAGTTGACTTCACAGAATTTTTGAAATTCTTTTGAAGTGAATTCTCCTTCTCGAGCAGAACACATAGCTTTGTTCTTTATACCACTCTCTTTTTCTACATTGTCTTAAACTTGAATATTCCAAAAACCTCTGATTTTTGTTTTAAAAAATACACTCATGTTTTTTCGTGAAAAATCATCTATAAAGAGAAGAAAATAGTTGCTCTTATCGAGTGAGCTTGACTTTATTGGTCTGCAAACATCTGTATGTATGAGCTCAAAAGGCTTTTGGGCTCTTGAACTTGACTTCCTTGGAAAACTTTTCCTGAAATATTTTTCGAGTAAATATTCTTCAAATAATTGATCAAGGTGGTTGATGCAAGATAATCCTCTCACCATCTATTTCTTTGAAAGCAATTCGAGTCATTCGAAGTTGAGATGACCAAATCGAAGATGTCGGAGCCAAGAAACATCTTTATAACAGGTCTTGAGACATTTGACAATATCGTTTTGAAAGTTGAGCAAGAACATTCTATTTTTAGACATTGACATCTTATTAATCAAGTTACCAATATTGTCTTTTAAGAAGAGAGTTTTTTCTTTCAAATGAATATCATATCTTTTCTCCAAGAGTTGCCCCAAACTCAAGATGTTTCTCTTCTTATTCGACATAAAGTAAACACTAGAAATAAATTGATGCTTCCCATTTTTCTCGCGGATGAGAATGTTACCTTTGTCTTTCATCTCTAAGAACATGCTTAGCCTCCCACACATATGATTGCTTGCACTGATGTCCAGGTACCATGTACTATCTTCACATCTTTCATTATCCTTGTATGCCAACAATAAAGTGTATATTCTTTTCTATTTTCTTCTATGTAGTTGACCCTTTCATTAACTTTGTTCTTAGGTGCTCTATATTCTTTTGCATAATGCCCTGCCCTAGCTTATTACAATTATAACACTTGACATTTATCATACCTCGAGTTTGAACACCCTCTACCACGTCCTCTTGTAGAGCTTTCTCCTTTTGTATAGTTATTATTTGTATCCCATCCTTGCTTGCTAGCATGACCTCGTTTTTGTTTTCTACCACGTCCTCTTCTAGAGCTTTCTCCTTTCTCATATTTATTGTTGGTACCCCATCCTTACTTGCTAGCATGACCTCGTCCTTGTCTACTACCTCTTCCATGTTGGCTTCTAATATTGAAGCTTTCATCTTTCTGAGTTGGTTGGAGATCCGTCTTGAGGAGTTGTTCGACAATCTCTTCATTCTTCTTCTTTTCTTCATGAGTTTGCAATGAACTCAGAAGTTACTCTATCGTCATGACTTGTAAATCCTTGGGCTATTTGATAATTGTTGTGATACTATCAAATTTTGAATCTAACAATCGAAGAATCTTTTCTATTATAGCCACATCTTCTAACTTCTCAACATTTCTTTTTAGTTGATTTTTAGTTGATTGGAAATGGTAATGGAAATGGTAATGTCCCTAGAAAAGTAATCGGAGACCCAACTCGCTTTCTTTCATATACAAAACATCAAATTAACTTCTTATAATTTGAAGTCGTTTCTTTTTAATCTTCTCTTCTCCCTTATACGAGACCTCGAGCTTCTCCCATGCTAGTTTGACCGAAGTAGCACTTAAGATCTTCTCAAAATTATCTTCATCTAAAACTTGATAAATGAGGAAGTGAGCTTTTTTGTCTCTCTTTCATAAGTCTCTTAAACTATCTTTTTGTGTTGTAGATAGATGAGACTCGTCGCTTGACTCATCATAGTCTTTCTCCACAACCTCCCAAACGTCATGCGCTCCAAGGAGTGTCTTCATCTTGATACTCCAATTTTCGTAGATGTTTTTCTTAAGTATTGGGACTTGGAAGGAAACCATGCCACCGTTTGCCATTACTCTATAAAGGAACCTTCAAACTCTGATACCACTTTGTTGAAATGGAGAAACTTTTAGGATTTGACAAAGGTTAAAAATTTATGGAAGAAACTATACTTCTATTTATCACATTTTCTTAGTTTAATACAAACTCAAAAGACTCCAACTCTATTTATACTAATGACACCTCCTAAATTAATGACTAGGATTGTGCCACTACAATTCTAATCTAATGGTTACAAATAACTCTCTAGAATTCTCTTTATAATTCTATACCTACCACACATTCTAGACAACTCTATGAATTACTCTAGAATAAACTTATAAATAAGACTTTTCTAGAACATGCTTCTAGAAATTAGGCTCTTATTGTGCTTTATTTAAACAATTAAGGTCCAAAAACTAAAAATGAAGTTTATATTTCAACATACTATGCATTTACCTGGATCTTTAATTCTTGTTGTATACCATACTACTGAGTTGATTTTTTTTCGTCCATGTGGATTATGGAGGTGAATGTCTTCTGTCTGAGTTAAATATGGACAATGTAAATATCAAATTTAGGTGTTAGATATGTAAATAGAAAGGAATTGTGTGAGATGTTTGTAAATGTCCCTTAGTTAATTATAACATACTTTGGTAAATCGATTTCCGATAATTTTGTAGACGTCAAACGCCAAACAATGTGATTAAGCTTCGATGTTCACTCAACGAAACGGAGGGTGATCGTGTTCTCAAATGAAGCCTAACTGTACTAAACACTAATTTATCAACAACTAAAACATTTGTTGATGTATAATTAACTCAAATTAGCATCCTATCAATTTACTTAATTATGCCTAATTAAATATTTTTAATCATAAATCAGCACAATAAAATAATCACTAAATAGCCTAATAAAATCCTACAAAAATTAAGTTAATAACTAATCATATACTAATTAGTTGGCGAATAAAAAGATTAACCACTAGGCTAATTAAATAGCAAGTACCAAATAATATATTGATTAATTGACGCCAAATTGCTTAATAAGCTCATAACTAATCTCAAACCCTTAATAAACTTGATTAATCTAATTTGACATCCTATTTACAAATTAATTACAAGTCGCTCAAATTTATTGATTTATTAATTAGATAATTAATTAATGTCAAAAGATTCATTAGACCTTTAAAATTTTCTAATTAAACTATAAATTGTTTAATTTGTATTTAATGACTATTTAACCATAAAAACTACATGTTATTTAGCTTGCATGATGAATCAATTTAATTCACAAATCTAAAAACATCCCTTAAATCCATCAATGCTTTTATTTGCATTCAAACAACTTCAATTAATTATAAGGGTAACATAGCTAAAAATATTAATTAGTTCTATGTTGTGATTAATTATTCCTTAAGAGGATTAATTTGACTTAGTTATACTGAATTAATTATCTCTAATTAGTCAAAGATTTGCTAGTTGATTGATTTAATTAGCGTTATAATCATGCTCTTATCTCATCCAAATCCTTTCTTTGCGTGTGCTCTCTACTTCTCTTCCCACCTCTATCATTCTCAATTTCTTTACTCTTCAACACTAGAAAAATGGACTACGGGCTTAAGGGATGAGAGGATTATTAATTATTTGATCCATAGATTAATAGATTTGCTTAATCCAAACAATTTTAGTAAGCTTTTTGAAGGGATTAAAGGATTAAGGGAGTTGAATCTCACTTACATGCAAGTAGACCCCTCGCTTATGCTTACCACTTGTTTCCCATGTATTTACATATCTAACACTAAACTATAATTTTTACAAACATGCCACTTTATCTAATTCATGAAATGGTATATTTCACTTTTTAAAAATTAAAATGGTTGTATTTTTTATGGGAAATGAAAGATTTGAGTGTTATAATTGTAAAAAATAGATTTTAGATGTTAGATATGTAAATGCAAAAAATTGTGGTATGTATGTAAATTTCCCTTCCATTTAAACTGCTTTTTCTTCTACAGGCCCAGCCTTATCTGTTTCCTCGAATATTTGGACATGAAGCTTCTGGGTTTTGATCTGCACCTGACACTAAGGGGCTATTTGGTAGCGCATTTTAATAGGATTTATCACTGGATTTACTAAATCCAGCCAAATGGTAAAATGTAGGAGTTCGTGGATTTATGACTCTTCGGATTTAGTAGCCCCAATTTTGCCTTCGATTCGGCGTAATTCCGGATTTACTAAATCCAAGGGTTGGGTGGATTCATGAATTTAAGGATTTACTAAATCCTACTAACGCTAAATGCTACTTAGCCAAACAGCCCTAAAGCTTTTGGTTTTTCTCCATTTTAATGGTCTACTTCGGGATTTTTCAGTGTTGTAGAGAGTGTGGGAGAAGGTGTGACAGAATTTGAGGTAGGAGATAATGTTCTTACAGTGTTCATCGGAGAATGTCAGAGCTGCAATCATTGTGTTTCTGGAAGAAGTAATATGTGCCAGAAGCTCGGATTGGAGCGTAAAGGTGTCATGCATATTGATCAAAAAACTCGCTTTTCTATGAAGGGAAGACCCGTATTCCATTACTGTGCTGTGTCAAGTTTTAGTGAGTATACTGTAGTTCACTCTGGTTGTGCTGTTAAAATCAGCAAGGATGCACCAATGGATAGGATATGCCTCCTCAGCTGTGGAGCAGCGGCCGGTAAAGTTTTTTATACTTCAGCTGAACATTGATAGCTTGATTTTTAGTATATTATCCAACATTTTAGTTGATAGAACATGAATTTTTGGTTCATTGAATGTGAGATTGTAACAGATAGTTTTTGAGATTAATTTCTTGGAAAATTGTATGGTATGAAATATGAATTGGGGACGAGTTATATACACTCAGTAACAAATACATATTCTTATTTGAAGTTCATGTTTCATAGAATTTTTTTTTATTTTTGTTCTCCTCAAAATCGTGAGTAATTGATCATTAGATGTCTTCCTAATTGAGTAGTTTGATTAATTAAAATTCATTTATGATATGAAAGATGTGTTCTAGATGAGGGTTTAAGGTAGTTTCATGCTGCTGATTGCTGGAATTCACATTTGCGCCAGTTGCTAGAAGTTCTCAGTGTGTGAAACTGCAATTCAATCATTGCAGGATGAAACTAAAGATAGTAGCCATGCCAAGTCCCCTTTCACCATTTTGAAGGAAATATATAGAAATTAGAGAAGGAAGAGAACTTTATTGAATGAATTTTACTTAAAATCACTCAGATCTGGATATATATACAACAAAAAGAATAGAAAAGGAAAATTTGAATTCCATAAAAGTCATAGTAAAAAAAGGCCAAAACAAGGAAACATTAGCTAACAACTAAAAATGTGAGATATATACAGCAAAAAGAGTAGAAAAGAATATTTTGAATTCCATAAAAGTCATAGTACAAATAGTACAAAACAAGGAAACATTAGCTAACAAATAAAAATGTGAGATTTATTATTAATTGGATTTATTACCATAATTTTGTGAGTGGGATTACCTCCAGAATTTTCACATTTCCTCTCAAGATGTTGAATATATATTTATCTTTCTCAGCTGGTCAACTAGTATTTCAAAGCTTGATTTGGAAGCTCTTTTGTTAGATTATATGCAAGCATTGTTTTGTAGGAAATATAAGTCATACAAATAACCCTATCCTCAATTTTTTCTTTGATAAAGTGCCTCTCCACCCCAACATGTTTTATTCAATTGTAAGATATTGGCTGTGTAATGGTGATGGAGGTCTTGTTGTCATAAAAGAAGTTTGTATGATATGTACTTTGCACTTTTAGCTTTTCTTTTAAGCTTTTCAACCAGATTAAGTCAGCGCACCCTGAAATTTTCTTTTGCTAGTTAATTCTTTCTTGCTTCTCTAAGTGACTGTTTCATCATTCTTTACTTTAATAAACTGATGTGGACCAATTTTTATCAATAGAGCTTTACTGGTTTGCATCTATACAAACCTCAATATCTTTTTGGTCATTGTTTAGAAAAACCTCATGTCCGGTGTAGATTTCTTGTATCTTAATATGTTCTTTAGATGGAGAATGTATGTATTAACTTACTATACTGACAGTAAATGCAATATTTGGTCTAATATCAAACAAGTATCATAGTCTTATAACCAATCTTTGGTATCTCCCTATGTCTACAAGAATTTCATGTTTGATTTTTTTATATTTTGTGTTTAACTCAATAGGTATTGTAGCTTGTTTACACTGACCATTTCTTCTTTTGTCAATGGATCAAGCATGCATTTCTGGTAGGAGATTAGAACACTTTTCATGCTTCTTCCCACCTCCATTCCGAGGAGATATTCGAGTTTCTTAGATCCACAATTTCAAACTTCTCTCTGAGAGTGTTTTTCAATTGCATAATTTCTTCTATGTCATTTCTAGATGAGACAAGATCATCGACACACACAACGAGTAATCTTTTCTCTATGATATGCGTGCTTGAAGAATAATGTATGCTAGTTTTTCCTTAAATGTATCCATTACTCTGTACGGTATTTGTAAAGTATTCAAACCAAGCTCTAGTTTATTGCTTTAATACATAGAGGGACCTCTTTAGTTTGTGCACTCTTTTATTTTTAGTATGTTCTTCATACATGGTTGACAAGTTATGAGCTTTGTTGCTTCATTTCTTTTTGCTTTTTTGGAGTTTCAAGAAGGGACAGAGCATCATAAAGTTTTAAAAGGCCGACTATTTTACATTCCTATGGATTTTTTGTTAGATATCATTGAGCTATCTAAGATTTATTTTGGATGTAGGCGATTGATGCTTCTTAGGGTTATATGCTCTCATGGCTAATTACGACAAGCTCAATGGTGGACAATACTATTTTCAAGGAGAATACTATCTTTCAAGAAAATCAACAGTAGTTTGGTTTGATGTTTAGAATCTGGTTTATAAATGGAAAGATATTCATGGAGATGAGTGGCTTACTCAATAAAGCCACATATTTCCATCATTTTGCGTTAATAAATTTTAGGACACCCTCTATCTCATCCCATTGATCTTGACAAGAATTAAAAAAGTTCATGGGTATCATAATGACTTATAGTGGTTTAGAGATGTTTTTATGTAACCAATAGACATTCAACACATTGGGCTTGATTGATTCATACTGAAATTGGCTTAGATTTTTGAAGTGTCATCAAATACGCTCAATGGTTTTAATATGTCATTTTCTCTACGTCAAACGTGTGATATGAACAATTGAACAATTTAAGGTTGAATCCCTAATTCACCCAAAAAAGTACCATGGTGCACAATGCATTTTGGTGGATATGTTTTGAATGTTGTATGATGTTCTTTGAGATTGTATACATCTCTGGTGAGGTGATTTTTGAGGGTCATCCTAGATACTAAAATGATAAATTTACATGTTATAGCTCATTTTAGCATGCATATGAGTTGGCAGGGAGCCCTAATTGAGTGTAGGTTCCCACTTGGAGTTAAGTTGGCTCAAAGAAAATTTGTATTTTGTTACCTGTTTATGTGAATATTGAACTGTCCTAACATTAGAAAAGTTGGGTTTATGTTGTGAAAGGTCTATAGATATGATTTAAACAAATATAGGCCTTACAATAGAAAGGCTAGAAATAATTTGTGGGACCTAATAAAATGTAGTCTGATATGTAAATTGGTTTGTGTAGATGTAACTTACATTTGTACATTTAATAGATTAAGCATAAGAAACTCAAGTCTATTATTTTGCATGAAGTTAACTTAAAGCTTTGTTTTGCTTGGGGTTTTATATTATGTACTTGCAGGCTCTATATTGGTTTGGTCCGAGTATCATATCTTATTAAGGAAGCCTAGAAGAATGTGTTGGGACTCACAAATTTATTTTAAAGGGGCCCAATGAAGGCCATTTTGTGTATAGGACTTATTAGAATTTGGTCTGTATAATAATGATGGTGTGGCTTATATCCAAGGCTTTTAGGGAAGCTCAAAGATCTTAATTTAGTAATTGATACATAATGAATTGAATGTTAAGGGTTATAAACATGCATTTATAGATGTTTAATACTTAAGCGAAAAGCGTCATGGGGCTTAAAAGTTAAAACATAAGTATGGAGGACGCTCGAGTGTAGATTTACTACAATAGTGTTAGATAGCCATACAAGTGGATTCTACGATATTAACCTTTCAAAAAAGTAGCTTAATGATGCTACCTGCAACCTCAAATTGAGGAAGGCTCAAGCAAGTTTTGGTTGAGTTTTATTTATTTGATTTATTGATGCATTGACTGAGCCTTTGAGGCAATGCAATTTGTAGAGATTCACTCAAGACCTTTATTGTACAAAACGTAGATTCAAGATAAGAATTAAGAGCTCTAAAGAGATAGTAACTTTGTGTGAGTTTTATTTAGAATTCAAAGTATTTGAATGGGTTTGATTTTATATTATTAAGTGCGTTGAATACATTCATAAAGTTCATTAAAATAATTTTGAGAACTTACATTTTATTGCAAAATATTTATCTAATATTTTTTAGGAATTTAATTAGTGTGATTTTATTTTTATTCCTTATTTTATTTATGAAACTTCTTTTAAATATTTTTATTTTTGTGATCACATGCTTCATTGACTCGTCATTATGATCTTGATCATATATGTTTGTTTAGATTTTTAATGGATTGTAATTTTTTGTATACAATAAATCTATTTAATTTTTTTTATAATTACCTCATTACTTTCCTAATTATGAAAACTTTCACTTAATTTGAATTCCATGTATATTCCTTAGTCAAGTTTTCTATGGAAAATTTATGAAGACTTTTTGGTTTCAGGCATTTCATTAAATATACCTAATTGTGATTAATTAGGTTAATTATGTGCTAATTTTATAATTATTTTATACTTAATGATTTTGATTTTATGACTAGTTAACTAGCAATTAGAAACCCTTTTTTTCTAGCTGTTTGGGAGGACCTTTTGAGGGTACGTCCTTCCCGGGTGTCATCCTCAATATCCGCCAATCTCTGCTGAAGTAGGCAAATCTCTCGTTGTATCTCTTCTCGGGTTGGCTCGGGTATGTATCTCATTGGTAACATGACAAGGGTTTGGAGTGAGAGGTGAAAAAGGGGAAAACAATTGATTTAGAGTTTTACTGATTTTGAAAATCAGCAAGGAAAAATTAGGGTTAAGTCAAAATTTTGGCTGTAGTTTAGGAATATGAAAGAAAATTTTTAGTGGAGGGATAAGGCGGATGCTAGAAAATCTTAGCATAAGACTAGGGTTAGGCTAGTCTGATATCAAATGTTACCGGAATTAACTTAAACCACAATAGAACTATAAATATTATTGTTGAATTAAAATGGGGTTACAACGACGATTCATCACTAAATAAGAATTAAACAATAAATGACATAAAATGACATTCGAGGGTGAGGAAGATGGTGTTGAGTGGCGGCTAGACAATGGGTGAAGGATCTAGTTGGATTTTGAGGGCACAATAGTCGGGAAGGGTTTGGCACCAGTGCTGGGATGCAAGAAGGAGGTATTGGCAGCAGGTGGGGTTGTTGTGGGGGAGTTGCAGCCGCAACAGTAGAGTGAAGAGGGGGATTGCTACAGGTGTTGGAGGGATGCGGGCAGAATGGGGCAGCGATAATGGATGCATCAATTGGTAAGACGGGACGATAAGGAGATCAGGAAGGGAAC